TAGTGGTCTATGTTTTGGATCAATCAAATTAGATGAGGACATAATTAACAAGGACAATAACAGCTGAAATCAAAGTATGACTGAATGGATTAGATATAACTGATCAGTCCACTGCAAGTGAATCACTTGTGTTTCATCCCATGCATATTTGTAAGTTTTATTGTTTCTGTTGGTCAACAGCAATAAAGTATATTGTCTTTTATGCCTGAATTGTTACTTTAAGAAATGTTGATTTTTAATATCAATAAGTGAAGCCAAAGAAGGGAGCCCAACATATTTTATTAAGGTTGAAATTTAGTCTTATAGGATGACTTCTGCAAACTCTTAGCAAACTAAAGAACTCTGTACTCTAAACATGTGTAACGTATTGACATTTTTTCCCATGGTCTCTACCACAGCAACAAATCCCCTTGCGGCCCTACAGATTTCCAACCACCCAGTTTGAGAGCCCCTGCCCCAGAGGAAAAAAGAAAGACTCCCAGGTATTGTTCTTCATCAGCGACAGGAAAAATCAAGTGGAAGGGTTGGAGCGTGTTGCGTCATAAGGTCAATATCACCATTTTCAGAGTCAAACAGGACTGTGGATCCAAAAGGAGATAGCGAGATAGTTTCAACTGCAACAATGCTTCAGAGGTGTCAACGCGAGATCTAAGACACTTAAAAGGTTATCCAAATGTGAAATGGTTCTGCTTGGGAGTGACAGGATACAGGAAGACAGATGTCACAGACTGAGGAAGTCAGCTGTGATTTATAGAACATATTCAGTCTCACTTTCCAAAACAAAACACTGTACAGAAATTACAGTTAATTGACTTTTAAAACACTACTGCACCTATAAACCAGAATTAACCCAAACACAGTAAGTTTGAAATGTGCAGCCACAAAAAGACCCTGGCACTCAAAGCCAATGTTACCAGATAAGCACTTCAGTTAACCACAGAAAAGAAAAAGCAGAATGGTTTCAGTTAACAGCCTTTCGAATCTTTCAGATGACAACTGCAGCACAAAAATAAAACATTTTTGGCTGCCTGTTTGTGGATGATGCAGATAACACACCCACTTATCAGTCGTGAGGCTTAGGATGATGGGTTGGTCATGTATGTTGAGGGGGAGATAAGGCCATGCGGTCAGTCAAATCAAACGTGTACAGTCAGCATGAGAGGCCACATGTGCTCAGCAGGTTCAAGAAAGACTTTAGAATGTTTATTTCTGACTCAAGCAGAAACCTCCGAGCTCTAAAGGGTACACAAGATGTAGTAAAACAGTGTGCAGAAATCAGAGCAACATGTGTTTTGAATTGAGTTATTTTTCATGAAAGTAGGAATTTCATCAAAACAGCAGAACATATACATGAGACGAGAAGTCAATTATTAAAAAGACTGTAGTCATAATTTGTATTGATTTTCACGGAGGTTTGCCGACATAAACAAAAGAAAACAGAGGGCGAACAATTTCATTTGCCGCTTTTGAATACCTTTTGCACAACTGGCAGTCACGGGGACCTCTGCTAACAGAGACATAATGAAAGGGTTCCAGAGGTTTAAATCAGAATAAAAGAGCCAAACAGGAATAAATGTGGGGTTATATTTTCATCAGCTTTAAAAGAACAAGTATTGTTTATATAATCTGTGTGAATAATGAGCATTGAGATTTGAAGGGTTTGTTTTGCGTCATCGGCATGGATGCTTGTGAGAGCTCATTGTTGAGCATATGGACAAAGCCCAGCGCCAGTGTTGTCTGTATTCACTAAAACTCAGAGTTCTGGAAATCCTCTTCTCCATCCTTTGTGAATCTAGCCAAGACTATCTCGCACAAACTCACATGTAAGCTACTGTAGAGAACACATTTGCCTCAGAGGCCTGTCTGTGGCACGAATATGCTCTCACTATAGCTGTCACCTTTACGGTCGTTCAAAAAAGTTGCATGTATTTGTGTGTTCTTTTTAACCAAATCACTGCAATTCATGATTATTTTACAAGAACGTCACCGAACTTGTTACCCGACAAGAGGCGCCAGAAAAAGAGTATGTCTATTGACGTTGAATGTCTGCAAGAACAAAGATGGTATCTGGTTAATGGTGTGTGAACTTATGAAATTCTTTAAATTCCCTTTGTTAGGTGTGCCATATGCAAGTTAAGGGTTCCAAACAGGAGCCTCGAATAAGATCAACACATATAATTTCCGTTGTGTTACCAATATCCTGTGAAATGCCAAAACAGACTGAATTAAAAAAACAAGCAATTTTTAAGGCATTAGAAAAAATAAGGGTGCTGTGTGTAATTTACATTTATGACACACTAGGCAAAATTGAGTTTTGGTATCTTGCTCCAAGGAAACTCTGGGGATTGAACCACCCACCTTAAAACTGGTAAACAAATGCAATGCTCCTGGAGCCAATAGGGCCTTGTCGTGAGGACGAAAGCCAAAACAATGCAAAAGAATGCTGCTGATCATCATACTGAACGCTCTGCCCACACAAAATATGAGAAAACAACTGAGATATGTTTAATCATTTTTATGTTATAGGTAGTCTGAACATATCTTAAAGGCAAATACAAAAATGGGTTCTTTTAAAAAATAGACTCACTACAACAACAGAGCCTCTTCAGTTTGAGTTAAACTTGTTATCAAAGTCATAACACGATCTTCATTTGACCATTTTAACTAAATTTAGATGAGGAAATCAGGCTGTTTTGCATAAGGCAAAGGCATCTCAGGGAAATATATATCTGTAGGATGTTGGCGTACTTTTTATAGTTGAGGTAGTATGGCTGAACTCCATCATTATAGCCGGTTAAATGCTAACAAATTTAAGTTGTGAGTGCAGAACTGTGAGCTTTCGCAATTTAGCATAATAATGAGAGAAATGTGATACCTTCACAGACCTGCGGTCCTCCAAAAAGCGTTACCTTGACTCAATAAAAGTGTGAGGTGCTTAAAGGCAGACTGTCACTGATGACTGAAAGGGAAGAAGACAGAGCAGCACTGAGTGCTGATTATGAACACTGTGAGAGCAATTATACTATTTGTTTAATCAGATAAAGTGATAAGTGTTGTGTCAAAGGTTTCTTTAGTTTCTTTATATATACTGTATATATATATAAATGTGTCTCTATATTTAGATATATAGATATATCTATATATATATAGATCAGAACTGATGTAAAAGCTCCAAAATTATTCACAGTTCTGTATTTTCCCTATTATTTCAAAAGGTGTTCTATCACATTTAATAAAGGGTGCATATTGAGGACAAAGTTATTTTTCTGTGTATGAGAATATATAGTCTGTAAATTTACAGAGTTATTCTTACTTTTTTCCCTGCATCATTTTCACCAAGGTTCAATTTTATATTAAATAGCATACGATATAGTGGGGGCGGCATTGTGGTAGTAGTAGTCACCTCATAGCAAGAAGATTCCTGGGTTCCCAGGGGAACTGGGACATTTCTGTGTGGAGTCAGCATGTTCTCCCTGCGACTGTGTGGGTTCTTTCCGGGTACTCTGTCTTCCTCCCACCGTTCCAAATAGACACTCCAAATGACCCTGTAGGAGTGCGTGTGAGTGTGTGTGGTTGTTTGTCTCTGTGTCGCCCTGCTATGGACTGGAAAACTGTCCAGGGTGTCTGCCTCTTGCTGGAACAGGCTCCAGTGATGCGGTTGGGAATAAACAGTATAGAAAATGAATGCATGGAAAACATACTGGAGATGTTGGAGGTTCTGCCATTTGTCTAAAGTTCATATACAGTAGCTTACCTACAAATAAAAATAAGTTCATAACAATGCTTGATCAGTATTTTATCAGTAAGCATCTCAGATTTTAAAAGAAGCAAGAGGGACAGGGGGAGAAAAGTAAATTCAAGTGGATCATTTCACACTCGAATTGATCCACTTTTATAGAAAGGTAAATCTATGGAAGAAAAATAAGCTGTTCCAATGTCTCTCTGAGTTGTTATGACCAAAACGTGAAAATCTAATTTCATTAAGACCAAGGCATGTTGTGTTAGCTTGGGTGTCAACAACTTTGACAGACCCCTAATTTTGGCTGACTTAGGGACATGTAATGCTGTCTCACTATATGCAGGTCTGAAGAACAGACTGTGATAGAGAAAAATAAGTTTATATCATGATGTTTATTTTCCTTCCTTTTTAAGTCTGTTACTGAGAGCGTTGGTACCTGCACAAAGTTCTATGTGTGTAAGGCTTTTTTTTCTTGTGCCAAAATTTGAATAGCAGCACATTAATATTTGAATAGAAAAACACATACTTATAAATATAGTAGGCAAATTCGCCCAATATCCTAAGTCTTTTTTCTGTGTTGGAGTTGTATACTGAATGTTTGTTTGTGATAAGGAAACTTCACTCTCAGGGTCATGATTGCTAATTCATGCTGATATTGGAGGGAATTTTCTGCAGTTTAAACAAAACATTTTGTAAACCTCTGTTTAGGGTTCAGCCTTTAACAGTCAAATAGTTTTCAATTATACAGTTTTTTATGTTACACTTGTGAAACTAATAGCCAAAGGCACCACACTAAATGCACCACAAGATTTTATTGGGAGCGGAAACATGTTAAAACCACCAAATAAATCATGCATAGACTGGAAAGTCCAACCATGTCCTACAAAAAGTAACAGGCATTTCATTTGTCTTTAACATAATCTTGACTCTCCGCCCAGGTCCGGTGTTGCTCCTCTGGGCTGACTCTTTTCTGTTTGTTTCTTTGTTTTCACTTCTTTCTTTTCCACAGAAGGTATATTATATTGTGGAACTAATTTGCACATATCTAAAATATGTAAATCATCAGTATTTGCTTGTATCGGCAGCTTTTTTCTCATGCAGCCCTGCAAACGCAACTGCAGGGACAATGTGTTCAAACTCCTGAGAGCTCTCAGCACCCTCAGCAGGCTGGCTGTCTGATTGGCTGAGTACTGACTATGATGTCACCACAGCACGTTATAAGAGCTCTGACAAATAGCCTGGTAGACACATTAGAGGAAACTCTGCTCAACTGAGCAGTGAGACGCACAGAGATCAACACAAACAGAAAGTGGAATGGGCATGTGATACTAGTTTAGGAGGAACTAGCTGCGCACTGATTTTTTCTTTGTATGGGAGGAAGGGAACACAACTACCTGTTGAGGTTTGTGCTTATGATTTTATCTGGTTTTCAACCATGTTTTTTATAGTTTGTCGAAGAGGAATATGTTATTTTGACTTTATTTTGTTTTATGTTGCAGCTGTAATGTTAATTATACTGTTAATGCTTTTTAAATGCATATATTTAGATTTTTACTTGTATTTACACACCCTGCATGTTAGGAAGACTAACATTTAAAATGGGACATTCTCTTCTTTAATTTCACGTGTGTCTGTGTGTGAATGTGTGTTTGTGTCTGTGCGCGTGTGTCTGTTGTCTTCTTTTAATTCTTCAGATGGAAGGTACAACCTCTCCAGCATACCTCAATGTGAGCATCTCACTGAGAACAGACATTTTCAACTCATCTTCGCCTCCCAAGAACGATACAGAACCTTACAGTGAGAAAATCAAGATCCTGATGGGAATGGTCATGTCTGTTCTGGTTTTGTGCATAGTCTTTGGCAACATCCTGGTCATAACAGCAATCGCTCGCTTTCAACGTCTCCAAAATGTCACCAACTGTTTCATTACATCCCTGGCGTGTGCAGACCTGGTCATGGGTCTCATCGTGATTCCTTTCGGTGCCTGTCACATCATCTTAAAAACATGGCCCTTTGGTAGTTTCTGGTGTGATTTCTGGACTGCAACCGATGTCCTTTGCGTGACCGCAAGCATCGAAACCCTGTGTGTCATAGCCATAGATCGATATTTGGCTATTACTTCACCATTCCGCTACCAGTCAATGCTGACAAAGTGCAAGGCTCGACTTGTGGTTGTGCTGGTGTGGGTGATTGCTGCCTTGATATCTTACCTGCCCATCCATATGAGATGGTGGACGGCAGACACCGATGAGGCTCAGGATTGTATCAGTACCAGTACGTGCTGCGAATTCGACACCAACATGGCTTACGGCATCACCTCCTCGATCATCTCCTTTTACATCCCTCTGATCATTATGATCTTCGTCTACAGCCGGGTTTTCCAGGAAGCAAAGCGCCAACTCAAAAAGATTGACCAAAGTGTTGGACGCTTTCACAATTGTGACAACAGTGACTTTAAATCTCTGGAACCCAACAATGGACGCTGCCAAAAAAAAGTCAAGTTTTGCCTTAGGGAACACAAAGCCCTGAAAACTCTGGGTATCATCATGGGGATCTTCACTCTATGTTGGCTGCCCTTCTTTCTGCTCAACGTGGTCGTGGCCATTTACCACACTGGCGACAAGCTCACCTTTAGGATACTGAACTGGATAGGTTACTCAAACTCTGCCTTCAACCCGCTGATTTACTGCCGGAGTCCCGAGTTCAGGTACGCCTTCAAGGAAATCCTCAGCATGAAGGGGAACCGCCTCGGTAACCCGGGATCAGTTAACGGATACATTTACAGCAGGAACAGCTGGCAGAGCGAGCAGCAAGGGAGGAGTAAGGGCAGTGCAGAGGACAGTGACACCAACGAAGGGTGTCTTGTGCAGGTGGTGGGGGTCAGCGGTCCTGAGGACAGAGCAACGGACCCAAATGGCAACTGCAACAAAGCCCCATCGACTGTAAAAACTGCACTGTGAGCTCGCAGCCCCGAGACACCACTCACCCAATCCAGATGTGTTTACAGTGCATCATAAACTGTTCTCCTAACAGTCTGATGAAGGTAAAGTCGGTCACTTGAACTGGCAGATTGACAGCTGAACTGCGATCAGCATGTTCCACTGAGGAAAGTATTTCTTTTTATACAGTAAATTAATACTGTCAGTAGATCATTTTAATATTTTTTCTATTATCTTTTTTTACATCGATCATAGTGACTTTACATCTACCTCATTGCATTTTAAATTTTTGTTATTTTTTTTTATATTTCTATCTTAACTCACTGTTTCTGACATTCGGCTCCACTTGAGTTAAACAAGGGTAACGTCTGAGCTGTTTATTTACCTTACTAAGTTGTTTGCGGATGGTGTAATTGCTTCAGCTGAATCTTCTGGGTATGTTTTTATTTTAGCTCTCTTGGGGAAAGACTGTACACTTTCATTAGCTTAAACAACACTTTTTTAGTTTCAAAGTAAATACTGTTGGAAGCTGTCAGTAAGGTGCACTCACCAGGTGCGTGATTAAGTTATTTATTTGCATTTGAAGGGTCAAACTGTTTTGCGTCAAAAGATACATTCCAAATGATCAGAGATTAAAATCTGGTATTTTTTTGTTAGATTGTGGGAGCGTTAAAGATCAGCAGTACATGAGTTAAAACCTGTCTTTCTCCCCTTCCCTGCTGTCTGCTCTGGTGTTTAACGGATTGTTACGTTTGAGTATCTGTTGTCAGCAGAAAGCTGAGATATGTAATCTAGATCTCACTGTGGACCTGAAACAAATGCCTGTGGCCATCCTCTGTGAATGCGACAGTAAAACTTGAAAGTTTATTTGCATCAGCTAAATGTTGTTATAAATCGTATGAACATATAAATTAGCTTTTGAAAGGAAAGCTGATTACACCATGAAACGAATTGACCTCCCATGGTTGCAGCTTAAAAATAAATCACTGGATTGTTCTATTTTTTTTTTTCAATGGTTGGAAAATGCTCAACCTAAACCTGTCTTGGCCTGGATTCTGTAAAGGGCCTCAAAATGTGCAATGTGCCAGCTAAATGCAAAATTATTGGTCTATAGTGTTCCTTCTATGCAATAGTAGCAATTGCACATAAACTTGCACAAGCCCCTGTTTGTTTATTGAATTTGTGGTTGCTGTGTTTCAGTATGAACAGTGTTTACTGCAACCAGAGAAGCGATTTCCTCATACTGCAAGGGTACAAACCACACATAATAATAAACAGGGCGGCAACATAGCTAAGTGATAAAGTTCCAGCGCTGATGTGCTGATGGCGACTGCGGGCCAAGAAAGGGAAGGCAAAGACAGAGACGGCTCATGAAAAGCGCACCTTTGTCACTGCTCCATGACATTTCCCAGACTCTCCTCAGTATATACAGACGTCTTTGTCTCTCTGAAAAGTAACATTTGGACAAAACACTGGGGAATCCACGGAACAGTGCCGCAGCTGCTCTTCTTGTTTCAGTTCGTTTAGGTCAGTCTTCTTTAAATGCTTCTTGATGTGCACTCTCCAGGAAATGTCCCAATCCAGCTGAGCCCAGTTCCAATAATCATGAATAAATACATTGTCTGTGTTCCTTAGCGAGAGAATCAGATACCCCCCCAACCCAGAAAACAAAACAAAAACAACACTGAAATAGATTTAAGGGTTTAGTATGAGTTTTCAATGCACAGGTTGCGATTAGATTTAAGGGTCCAACATGAAATGCAACGTTCCTTTCTTATTGCCTGTTTTTGGATTGCAGGCTCCACATAAGTTTTCTTTTTTTTTTTTCTTTCTTGACTTGGGGATGTTTCAATAAGCACTTAGCATGGAGGGTTTTAATTGAGGAATGAACTCCCTTTCCCTCAAACTAAAAGGCTCATTAAGCTAAAGGGAGGTAATAAAGGTGTGTAACCCCTTTCTCCAGTCAGTTTGACATGCTAAATGTAGCTTCTGAAGGTGAGAGGGTGGCCGGGGATTCTCTGCCAGTCTAAATTGGTGCTAGTGACATATGTTTTAGTACATGTAGCATTGCCTCTGTATGGAGCTTGATCAGCTGATACGTCAAAACTGTGAACTTTGTTCTTTCAGAGGAAATCTCTATGTACTGTATGGCGAGCTGTGGTCAATGCCGTTATCACCGATCCTAGGAGCAGACGTAAATACCGTGTCATCATGCGTCAATGTTTGCCATGTGAAAAACAAACTTTCCAGCATGTTGATCTATTTCTGTTTTTCTTTTCGTGGATTTACAGCAAAGTAAATTCAGGGGTTGAAAGTCAAGAAAAAATGTTCTTACCCTGTTCTTTTTAAAACATTCTCACTGTACAGCATGCTGAAAAGCACAAGTCTGTTAAAGAAACCCGACCAGGGTTTTTGTTGTATATATTCACTCAGTTAACTGAACAACTGGCACTAACTGACTCTGCTGCTTTAGAAAATATTTTCCACCTGATATATGTCATTTTCAAAGCACCGTGTAAGTGACTATTTGCATGCCTGCTATGTATTTCGTGATATTGTCGTTGTGGTCTTCTATGCCACTTCCTTTCACGGTGACCCTTTTTAGCTGGAGTGAACAGGTTGTGAACCATACGCCCACACTGCTCCCTCCTGGCAGTGGCCTCTCCTTGCACCTCTGCTGTCTCACCTTATAAATGGTTACTGTTTTGTCAATACTCCTGTATAATAAGATATATCATTCTTGCCTTTAAAACCTCAATGCTAAAAGACACAACACTGTCATCATTTCTTGAATGATGAGCCGACATTACAACATTCCAAGGACATGTGCTGTTTTATAGAAAGCTTACATCGCACATTCACTTCACCCACCAGTCTGGTCCCAGATCAGCCACTTCCCTCAATGTTCTAGTAACACTAACGCGCGTAAGATGAATGGTTCTTTCGAAAAAGGAGTATAGGTTTAAGTACAGAGAAGTCTTAGGGGTTAGTCTTAGAGGTTATAATCCAATGTGGCATGCATTTATTGCACATATTTCGTTGTAATAGAAAACAGCGCATTTTCCCTGGCTGCAACACACGAATGCGATCCAAGTTTAGGTGGGTCAGCGCCAAAGCTGTCCTCCCCGATTCACTACTGTTTCTAATTAATAAAAGTTGCTCCGTCCCAGAAGAACTCTCTCAAAACCTAGATGAAGTCATTCACCAGCCATTAGCAGCACTGTATAGCACTTTCATAAAGCACTCAGACATTTTGAACAACCAAACACACGTTTCAATTCATCATCTATGTAAACAATCTGCTTGTTTGCCTGCACCATAATATTTGCGTGGAAGCTTTCTTTCCTGTCTGCATCTCGAAACAAAGAGTCGTGAGAGAAGTTTGTTGCAGTACGTCGGCACAGACGTTGTTCGTGGGCAGGCGGTTGACAGAAACCGACGTACACAAATGTGAATGTTCTAGAAGAGCTAATCGTTGCTTCAGCCATCATATGAAAAGCAAACTTGTCATAAGTGAAAAAACGTCACTCAGCTTAATGTTTACTAAATGTTTTCGCACAAGTTCTTGTCATTGTTAAGGTATTGAAGCCTGTTTATATGTGGTGCCTTGTGATATTTATTGAATAACAACAAGTTTGTGTGAAGTGTTTGAAATAAATGACGTACATGTTGCATATGAGTTTTACGTGTGCTTTAATGGTGTTAAATTGCTCAGTGTATGAGTTGTAAATTCTACCTCTATGGCTCCCAGGATGCATAAAGCAGTTAAGAGCAGTTGAGTTATATCAGTATGTGAAAACCATCAGCGTGGGCTCCAGATGGAACGATGCAGGAAGGAGATCAGGATACAATGAAAATGTTTCCACTCTCTTTTTAAAACTGCAGGTCTGCTCTGTGCTTCAAGATTATACAGTGCGCCGTTGCTCTGATCGGAGGGAGGTAGATAGAAAAGACAGGAAGAGATGGGTTTTTTTTTCTATCTGGCATTTGTTTTTTTAATGGAAAGTATCTTTTTCTGTTTTCTTCAAGCACAAAACGGACCACGCTTTGAACTGGAATTTGAGAGGAAAACATGAACCACAGATACAACCAACTGAGTTTTTGAAATGATATCACATAACTCACAGTGAAGAGCCAGTTCTAGATTATGAAAATACCATATGGGGTGCTAATTCTTTTTTATTTATGTGACAGAAGGGTAGCCACATTTCTTTTTTCTTTTGCAGGTGTCAAATCTGCCTTATCAATTTCTACAGTGTAAGGCACATATCTTCAATTTTTCATAATATATTCTTGCAGGTTTTACAAATACATTCACAGCAATTTTTAAAAAGCAATCATTTTGAACCTGTTACATTAAGTCCTTTACACCATGGTTTGAGAAAAATAAGGGGGTGCTTCAAAAGGATTCCTTGCAGCGTATTTGGAGAAGAATCTGCATCTTTCAGGGAGGTCATCGATTTCATGTAATCATCTTTTGAAATGATTGTGTATTAGAAAAAAACAGGACTGGATGATCAGGATCAGTGATTATCTATTTTTGCAAGTATAACTTTTAGAAAAGATATGGCTTTGTATTTTGGGATCAATGTTTCCCCTTTTTTCCATGACAGTTTTGTGGGCCAGAGCCAACCAGGTGAGAGTAGCATTACACTAGCTTGACATTTGACCATTCTTTATGAAATCAATTACATTTTATAGTTTATACTTCTGTTATATTTCTTACATTTCTTCTAATGATTTTCTCAAATCTTAAATACTTTTGTTATATGGTCTGTTATGTAATACAGGAAAAGTCCTTTACATACATATGCAGAGTATCTTTCAGCTGATCTATTTGACAGACTTTGATCTAATGATATTTTGATAAATGTATCTATAACCGATGCTGGCAAAAACATTCAAAACTAAGAGGAGCCAAAGGAGCTGTACAAACTTGATTATTAAAACCAGGATCAGTCAAGTGCTGATCAGCCTATATAAGAGTTTATAAAAACAAATCCCTGGCGGCTGTTGAATCAATGTATGTTGCAGTTTAAGCTGCCTTTTTCAATCAAAACTGTGTAGAACAGAAATTGCAAAATGATTAGGAATGCCTTGATTGAAGAGAAGGCTTCAAATATATACAGACTGTGTACAATTGATTTATCACAGCGCTGCTGATGTCTCATAGTGGCATTACATGGCATCCTTTGTGCACCTCTATCGTTACATCTGTAGAAACTAAAGTCTAAAGAGGCCAGAGAGGCATTACAAGGCAATCTAAGTTTGCCATTTGGGGTTTAGACGTGCACTAGAGCAGCACCACTGGCGTCTGTGCAGATCTAACATTGTGAGACTAGACATGCTCTGTGGAGCATGGTTGACAATTTTCAGCTCTAACAGAGATACTGTGAGAAATTATGCCACCCTTTTTGCCAGAATTCTGAACAGGCTTTCAAGTCAGTCCATGCATGTTAATAACCATCAATCTGGTGGCCCAGACACAATTCATTAAAGTAAAAAAAAAACAAAAAAACGATTATTTATAAATAACAAAAAGGCAAAAGGGGAAATACTCTGAAAAGCTTAATAAGGGGTCTGTTTCAGACCAACAGCTATTTTCAGTATATCACAGCCGTAACATACTGCTTACATACAGGGTGTAAACATGTAAAAACTTCTGGCAGGACTGGGACTAAGGCACCACAATGTCTGGAGTCTTTTCCCTCCCAAGGCCCTTTTTGAGAATATTCAAGTCTGTTGATGTAAGTAAACACATCTCAAATCAGTTCAGCCCCCATGACATTTTGTACAAGCATATATGACTTAAAAAAACAGGCATTTCATCTAAATTTCATGGCAAAAGTATAAATGATAAAACCAGTTTGTCCAATGCCTATTACTTTTTCTTCCATGTGGTACTTTTCGGTAGACGTTCCTTTCATCAAGGCACTTTGGTTTCTTATCAGAAGTCAGTCATACAGAAGTTGAAAAGCAAGTTTATCCTGGTTTCTTGCCATTTCTTTTTTTTTGTCAAAAGTTTTTAGGAGAGGCCAAGATTAGATAATACAACATTTCCTGACATCTCGACATAATGACACATAAATATTGCCAAGAGAAAACCAAGCTCAGGATGTTAAAGCAAGGAAATGCAGCAGAACCCGAACACAGATTTCAGGTTTGCCATATATTTTTAGTTTTTATGTGATTGATTTGTAGTTTCAGTTGTGTTACTTACGTAAAAAAAAAAAGAAAAAGGTAAAAAAATTAGTTTAATGAGCTACTTGACACAATTTCTAAATAATGTTGAGCAGGACTCTGGGCTGGTGTTAAACTCTGTGGGTCGAGCTGGCAGCCCATGTATGGAGGCTCAATGCCCCTGTGCAGCCCACCCCCCCATCCCCCACCCCCCACCCTACCCCACCCCTTCTTAATGTCATGCCAGCTTCAAATGGAGGTCTCCACTAAAACCAAAGCATGACTCTACAAACTGTAGAGTTTGCACTAACTTGCAGGATTTCTTGTATGTTCATTGATTCCGTACAGCAAACAACCACACTGCTTTAATCCAGGGCATTCCCAACATGCCGACATCGGAAAAGGATATTGCAGTCCACCGTAACTACGCGTGAGCACCAAACATCGCTGACGCAAACACAAAGCCTCATCGTCATTGCAGGGTCCTGTTCTCTGTCAGCAGGAAACGTGGTTCTGCCTCTGCAGAGATGGGCTCGCTACGGTCTCACTGCTTTACAGATTCATATTTCCTGCATTGTCCTGCAAAGAAATATCTGCCTAGAAATATGGCAAATAGGAGGTTAACCCGCGGCTGCAGCTGCCTTACAGTAACTTTCAATTTTAAGATGTTATGCTGGTGACATAATGAAAAGTCATCTGCTTCTTATCTGGTCAATTAACATTAGGCGACCACAACCTTAGATGAAGAACATATGCCATGTTATTAAGCACCATCTCTTATTCAACGCAGCAAAGCAAAAATGCGGAATGACTCTCTGAAGAGCTTTACTGTTTCCTTAGGTATAAAAAGATAATAAATGCCCATGCATCCGTCCATCAATCCATGGATGTTTGCTAACTCAGCTCCAGAATAAGTTTAGCACGCATGAACTTATAACTACAGTCAAACCTGTGGGAAACCATGTGGAACACTGATAATGTCATCATTTTATTTCAATATTGGACAAACAGGATGGAACTTTATCCATAAGAAGGTTGAGTTATTTTCTTTTTTAAATTGTCTCTGCAGAACCTTCTCCCAGAGGAGAATGTTCTTTTCCTTATTTTATGTATCCATTCATTTTCACTGTTCTGCAAATAATTAATCACAAAAGAGATTAAAGTCTTTGAATCAGCAGTTTGATCTGTTGATTTTTCTCTGGTTTCTTTTCTTCTCCCAGAAAATCCCAGCATTTCAAGTGGCTCCTGAATTTTTACTCCCCAATATGAAGGGAGCATAACCCAGTATCTCCAGAGCCCCACACCACAAAGTGGCTGCACACTGAACACATCTGGTGGTGATTTCCAGTGAAAAATGCTCTCTAACAAGGGTCAGAAAACATTTCTTTTAAAGATTAATGTCCATGCGGTCACATATAATAAGCTAACTGTCCTCAATCAGCGGGGAGTGTTCTGGTGCTTCATTCTAAGTGTCAGCCTTTTATTTAAGCTTTTTCCTTCTGCTGTTAATGATGGCACATTGACACAAGCCCAAGGGGAGGCAGCGTAATGATACCATTTTGACTGTACCAAAGCCCTGTCTTTTTCTTTCACTTTCAAATGGCTCAATTTTCTGAAAAACTAACTGCCATAATTCCTCTCCGTGTAATCAATTTGACTCTGAACCAGTCCCGGTGTATTGTATTCTTAATGGCTGACAATTGTGTTCATTGATGGCTTTGTAAAGAGTCGCTTTCATTGTCTTTATTAAGTCAAGTCAGAGCTCGGTGCAACGCTTATGGAATTTCTCAAAGTACAATGTGTGGTAATGTTGTGATCCAAGCAGAAGGACTGAGGAAAGCATTTATCAGGCGGCAGCCTCTGCGTTGTACAGAACAATCCCCAGCAGGACTGGTAAAATGGAAAACTTACATTAACCATGCACCCCTTTGTTATTGCAACTTAGAGCACTGCTCTGCAGCTGAGATTTATGACATGGGTCGAACGTGAAATTAGCCTATCATTCACTGTTAAATGTGTTTAACTGAATGGGTTTCAGTAACAAAAAAGAAAGCTTATCCTTTCATGTATCTGCTCAACTCGCTGGTTTTAAATCTCACAAGAGACACTCAAACAAAGAGCTGAATGAGTGTCTCTTTTTAGCAGGGCTCTAAAATGAGTGGAGATGTTTGTGCCATCGCAGCCAGACTCGTCAGGCGTCATCAACACTAGACTCTGAGTGAGTTTTCCTAATCCCTTTGACACCACAGTCATCTCCCTCCGAGAATTCCCGGACACGATTGTGTGAGAAAAAGATTCTTGTCAGCTGGATGCCTAATATGGCGCTGCAGATATGGATTGTTTGAGGCGGGTGAGCAGTGCTTGGTAAGATCTGTTGGTGGGGGTGGGGGGTGGGGGGGGGAATCCAGCAGCCCGATCCAGGAACAAGGAAGCAAAGTCTGCCAAATGAAAGCCATGAAATTAAATTGTATGTGAAACACAAAATAGTCATGTGATGTCATATGATGTTTCAAGAGTCAGGACAGGGGTTTTGTTTTATTACCTCTATGAAATAACATTTTGGACCTGAGAAGACAAAATATTATCATTCTTAAAGTGAATTGGCATTCGCCTTACTCAGATTTGAACTTCAGACCCTCAAAAAATGCTCAGTTGCCGTAATGTATCCCTATAAAGTCATGATTGTGTGTTAGATGAGAAGGTTGTGGGCTTTGAATGTGTTCTTCTTGGTGTGTGTTTTTGGTCTGTTTTTTGTCATTAAAGTGGACCCAAAAGGGAACATTTGGCTGTGTTTTTTACTGTTTTGCTCTGAGTTGTGGGAGGGCCTGAGCAGGTATCCAGGCAATCTGAGCCGTCACAGTTGCAGCCCAACCGTGCTCATTTAGATCTTTCTACTTAAGGATCTGCAGGAGTTCCAGTCTTTCTCTTCTTTTCTCACTATCTCTGTGTAATCAAGCTAAACTGGTTTACCGTATTATCTAAAAATAGCGTTCCTCGTTAAACTGTCTTCTCGGTACCACCTGTCACAGCAACCGTGACAAGCAGATTTAAAGGAAAACGTTTCTACTGGCTGTTCAGATAGAACCATGTTGAGACATGCTCAAGTGGGCGGAACTCGAAAACCTGTAGCAGACTTTTGCATCATATCTTGGTATGTGGTGAGAAGAATCATCCTGGCCCAGCTTTCATCGCATGCTCTAGTTATCCACCTTAGCTTCGCTGAGGTTGCGGCCGCATGCGGATAAATCTGCCATTTCACACAGATGTGAGATCATCATAGCTGGAGCAGTCAACCTTAGATGGTAACTTTCCATGGCATCACACAGAGAACACACTCCACTGATGTTAAAAGGAAAAATTGTGATGTGTTCTTGCATTAGATGTGGTGGATGAGATCAACCCATTCATCTATTACACCAGCGAGTTGAAGCGAACCCAGAAACAAGAGTTATTATCTCTATACAGAGGTTTGATGTGACAGGAAAATACATTCCGTATAGAAAAACCTGTAGTTTTGGTCATGTATATATAAAACTGTGTGCCAAAGAAAGCCAGCTCCTTACATCATGCTGCTTGAACATGCTCAATCAATATGTTCTAGTGCTACCATGTAACTCTAGCATATTTCTAAAAAAAGAATGCTGTGTCTTCATGCAAGGCTATCACAAGATTTTCAAGACCTTTTCAGAAAACATTGGATTTTTAAAATCAATTTGATTAAATCCTTTTCTGTCATGAGCATCACATACAGCGTAGAAGACCATTAGTTAAATTATAAGTCTCAAAATACCTGTCCATCTCATGTTTTTTTTTATCTTGTCTCTGTTGGTGTCAAATTTCAACAGTTTAGGAAGAGAATCCACAAAGTTGTCCTGCCAGGAAACGTTTTGCTGTACAAGGAGGGCCAACCACAAAATTATAGTAATTCTTTCTCCATCCTGACCATGATAATTCTCAAGTAGATTTTATTAGTTGCTCTAAATACAGTAAAGTCCTGAAGCCAAAATCGATACTTTTGTCACAACATGTCATCTTTTATCATGTCATGTCAACATGTTTAGGTGGGGCTTCACAAAGGACTGAGACAAATATTCTGTAAAGATAACATGCTTTGTTGGAAGAAGTCTGCCAATTTATTACTTCATGGGTCTTTTGGTTAAAAAAAAGACTTCATGAAGTTACTTGCTCTTCCCTTCAGAGCCATGTAATGTCCATCATTTGTTGGATTGTGTTGATCTGTTCATTAGGACTCTCACAAAGATGTTATGTAATAGGTATTTTATCATTTTGTGCCCTTGGTTTTTAACCCGTTACTGTGTGAAGTATTGTGTTGCGTGAGATATATCAGCCTCATGATTTCCTGTTTCTGATGTTAATGAGCTTTTTTATTTCCTCAGAGTATTCAATGGAGTGTAAACTTGTTAAGTCTATGTCTTGAAAGACCGCTTGAAAGTAACACTGGTAATACTTTAAAAGGAAGAACAATTCAGTGCTTTTTTTGGCACGAGTGGACTTGTTTTGAACTTGTGCTAAACTCATGCCTGCCGGAGGAAGGAAGAAGCATTGCAACATTATTCAACATGCGAATCGTGTATGCAAACAATCTTCTTTTTGGCTCGATGGGTTCCAACATCCTAATCTTATTTTTTATTTTTTTGTTGTTACTTTTGATTGGTCCTTCAGTTTCACCCGGTGGTTTTCCACTCTGCCAAAAATCTTACTGCAGTAGCTGACATCCGAGAGCTGTAATTAAATCAGAGGAACGTCATCAGAATTAGACATTTCCACTCATATGTTGATCAAATCATTGTATTATGTTCTGTACACTGGGTCATATCTTAACAGAGGTCCCAAATGAGTCTCTTACCACTGTTTGTTTAATGTTGTCCGACCAATTGTGAACATATTTAAAAATTTGGAGTTCATTGTTTTGGAGCACAGAATGATGGATCTGTGTTGCTCTAAAACCTACAACATGCAAAAAGCAATAGAAGGGTCTTTTTCCTGTCAGGTTCACAGATAGAACCTTCACCTCATCCTTAATTAGGTTGCTAAGCAAGTTTACAAGAGTCCCGATAATCTCTCATTCAACAACCACAATGATCTGTTTTGAAACAGGCAACAAAGTGTACTTTTTGTTTTGCTCAGCCAGAACTGATTATATTTCCTGTTTATATTAATGTTACCAATAGTAAAGCGTTATCTAATGTTTGAAGCCCTTTTTGTTGAAAAAGGAGTGTTAATGTAATGCTGCCCCCTTGTGGAATCTTTCCAATACTGCAAATGTGACTAGTCTGTTTTAAGATCATGCTATAAAAATATAGCTCAATGTCTCAATGTTTTTTTATCATAAGATGAGAAAAATGCCTCCAAAGATTGTGAATGTAATTTTTGATTTAATGCAACAAGATAATAACTGGTATGAAGTTGCTCTACATAATGTAAATGGGCAGGGAGTCAGCTGCTGTCTGCCATATGTCTTACTTAAAGGCTCTGATACTAAGATCAGACATCCTGACTGGAAATTTAGAAGCTACTGCCCTCTTCTGGTGCTTTTAAGACACAGCCCTAAAAGCTCCAGCAGATATCCTTTACTCTGTTCTCCTTCATCACTTGGATTTTAAAGTGATCTGTAACAATGATTGCAATTTCAGGAGGAGCGATCAGAGATGTCAGCACCATGAGGACGTTAAACAGGTATACAATAAACCATCTTTATTAAAGAAGTCCACCATCCAGAATTGAGCTAACCCAAAAGAAAATTCTAGGTTGAGATATCCTTTATTTTTTTAAGTTTCACCCTTAGGAGATTCCTTTGACATGATCCATGTATCAGTAAAATAATTGGTCATCTCAACTACAAGTCATTTTTATGACAGGAGTTTCCTCCTGTGAGGAGGTTAACACATTACACCGGTCAAGACGCGTAATACGCCTAAAACGACCATAATGGTTACTCCAAAACATGCTCTTTACTCACTTTAAACACAGCCACTATAATTGGTTAATCACACATGTACTGCCCCACAGCAATACTCACTGCTGAACAAACTTCATAGATTAGACATAAAAACAACTAAAACAAAAAAAGACTTGAAAAATTTGAGATGACTGCACAATGTCATAAAAAAATTAAAGGATGAACTATAACATTGATAGTTTTGGTCTTTTCACTTTTCAATAAATAACTATGTATACTTCAAGTAACAGCAGAGAACAATAACATACACAAATTCTTGTTGAGATCATATGTATTTTATCTGACATCTTTTATGCTATACGATCACATATTTTTTCCAGTCTTTGATATTTTCCTCTCTGTTAATCTGTCTCCTATATGTGAATAAGGAAATGAACAAAAAGCAACCAAAATATATATTCTTTTATGTCTGTATCATCCACAACAGAAATAAAAAAGTAAAAAAAAAACAAAAAACATTTATTACAAGTATAAATTCACAAATTTACAGTATTGACATCTTACATTGTATAAAAAGTGCGGTGTGGCTGGAGCGTTGTAATCCATTAGCAGACCAACAGACGCGTGACCAGATGAAAGGAAATGTCAGTGAAAAACATAAAGTGCCACTGGGAGACTACGTGGTGACATCCACATGCTCACTGTGTGAACCACAACTCTCAAGCTCTATTTTGTTTGTGTGGTTGGAGGTTTTATCCTCACTATAAGTTTTATCCCTGTCTGTGCTCACTGTCTCTTTCTGGTTACCAGTAGGCTCCTTTTGAATATCCTCCTGAAGAACATCCATCTCTTTAGTGGGGGTCTTTTGCTCGTCTTGAACGTCAGAATCTGTGTCTCTGGTGTCTCTGTGTCCCTTGCAGTCACTTCGGTGATTAACTGGTATTTGACTGGGCATGCTGAGGTCAGAATCAAACTCTGAGTCTTCTCCGGCTGCTGGATTTTGGTATGTGCCAGTCGAGCTGCTGGAGTCCGAGATGTGCTCCTTGGCCGTGTCAAAGGATTCGGACAAAATGCTGTCACTGTATGACTGACTTGCGATAGTGTCAGTCTCAGAGGCAAACACATCCATATGAGGACTGTATGTACCAGGTAGGAAAACCTGATGTTGTTGCCCATCAGTATCCTTAAGATTCATTTCCGAACATCTGTCCTCTGAGTTTGAGTTGAGTTCATGAGTTCGTGGACATGTGTGATCTCTAAATGTCTCATCCTCCGATAAAGAATCAAACATACAGATTCTGTCAGCGGAACCTTCCTTAGGTTCTGCACTGGTACCAGTGCTCTCTTCCCTTTTTTGTCTGGGCTCTGTGTTTATATCACCTATACTTTCCACTCCCACAGCAGAGCTTTCCCCACCACCCAGAACCCTTTTCAAACTGTGGGCTCTGTCTCTGTAAACCTGGCATAAATGAGAATCAGGCATGTGGTTGCCATGGATCTCAGCCAGTTTCATGTACACCACATACAGGGCCTCAGGGTTGGTTTGGTCTTCGAGAGCAGCTGCCACAGCCAGCTGGAAATAGCCCACTGCATCGAAAGCATCCTGCAAACAGAAAAACAGAACAAAAAAAATCAAATATCACAATATATAAATAAATCATCACATTTGAAGTTCCCATTTACATTTTCACCACCTGCAGTTGTAACAAACCACCAACATTTGGTTACAGTTTGATCCACTAGATTTTGGTGCATTATTCAGGTTTGAGATAATTTTAGGAAAACACACTTTACACTACTTATTGTTAAAAGGAAAGACGCAAATCCTGGGTACCTTTAGTTTGTGCAGAGTCAGATTTCCTAATCTGCAGTAAACTTTAGTGTAGTAGCGTGCCTCCGCAGGGTCTTTCAATACAGGCGGGCACAGAAACAGGGACTTCAGGTAGTAGTTCTCTGCCATCTCGTACTGCTCCAAGCTGTAGTAGACCGTGGCCAATCGGTGGTAAGCTGTCCTCTCATTTGCACACACACCTGGTGGAGAAATATGTTGGTCAGTGTACCCGAACCGCATTTAAGTTGCCATGCTACGTTCTGCTTCACACCTGTTTTTTTTGCAACCTGCACGGCCAGCGTCGCATACTGCAGAGCCTCCTCCTGTTCTCCTTGGTTCATCAACAGCTCTGTCAGTTTGCTTAACAAACGGAACTCGGAATGGATGTCTCTGATGCTCCGTGCAAATGGTAAACTGCCGTCCTGAGAGAGAATATAAATCACATCGTTGATCAGACTGTGTATTTCAATCCCTTGAAATACACAAAGCTTACCGTTTTTGGATCCACTTACCCTATAAAAAGGCATTGAAGCCATCCGGTTCCTGTGGCCCTTGAAGTAGACATCTCCTGCCTCCTCATAGATACTCATAGCAAAGTGAGAGTCATTCATCCTCAGGGCCGTCTTCACTGCTGCCTGTCAATTTAAAAATAAATTATTATTCAGATCTAACTCCACTTAACATAATGAACAACATAATACTCAATAAATCAGATACTTTTTCAGTTTTTCAACCCCATAGGATGGCAGTCAGTCAGTCAGTCAGTCAGTCAGTCAGTCAGTCAGTCAGTCAG